TTTTTTTTTTTTTTTTTTTTTTTTTTTTTTTTTTTTTTTTTTTTTTTTTTTTTTTTGGGGGGGGGGGGGGGGCGTGCGGGCGCGCGCATTTTCTCGATTAGTGTGTTGTCCTTGCGCAGAGGCCATGCTAATCGTTTCTCTGTATCGTTCCAATTTTAACAGATGCGACTCTATCGACCTTATCCATCAACCTATAACATCTCACCCATCCCACCCAGCATCATGATGACGTCAGCTTTGTCACGACGATACAGTACATCGTTCAGACAAACACGTACACAATCAACCGGACAACATGAAACACAACCAGAAAATCATGCCCACTCGGTTTGTTTTTTTCTTTTTTGTCTCGTTTTGGAGGAGACACACCCCTTTTTTTCTTTTTTCTTTTTTCTTTTTTAATATTTGATAACTCGGCACATACTGCGAATCGGGACCAGCATCCCTCATGAAGCATCAGACAATTTTGCTGATGAGAAAGCAAAAGATACCAAGCCAGCCCCTCTTCGCCCTTGTCAGGGCGCCGGATACTGCTTTCTGTGCTTGAGCTGTATCAGACAGACAATGACATGAATCAATCATACCCAAACTCATTGGTGAAGAGGGGAACGGGATCCGGAAATTCTGAAAGGGGACGCAGGGGAACTGAAGCATCCACAGTCATCCAATCTTCAAAAATCAGAGTAATAATTCCTTCTTATTTCTTCGCTGTCAGAGCTCTATGGTCACCGTCCCGCCTGACCCTACTATGGTCAGCGACAAAAATCTTTGATGCGCTCATGTATATCAGCTCTTGAATATAAATGCTGAACTTTTTCTTTTGTTCGTTCCCACTTGGTAGAGATGACATCGTGCAGGTGTTGCTCAATTATTTCTGTGAATTCAGGTCCGTCTAGTCCTTACCCCCTCATCCGTGCATCTTCTCAAGAATCTCAACCAAATGGCCTATAGAATAGCTCTTCTTACCATAGTAAATAATTCCGACCAAAATCATCCTGTGACTCCGGTACCCATGATTCCAAAAGAATCGCACGCCAATCGCAAGGCCAGGGGAAGTTAACACCCAGTTGATTCCAAATCCGATCCCACAACCATCTCCACAGCCAGACCGAACCACACACACCCCTTCTGAAGCCCACCGGGAAATTACCTGCCTTGCTGGCGCATTCTTCGGGTCTGCAGCCGCAGCCAGCCGAAAGAGATTACGCTGCCACAAAATACACACACAGGCGATTCGACAATTCAGCGACACCTCAGCCAACCTCCTTTCTCTTTTTTTTTTTTTTTTTCTTTTTTTTTTTAATAGCCAACCAGCTTTCTCAAGAGTGTTAGTCCCTGAAGTTAATTTATCCATCAGGATTTGAACTCACAAACTCACAATCTGTTTTCGATACCTTTATCAGCAACCAAATGTGAGACCCAACTAGCCACACGGCTCGGGTGCACCCAATCCGTCAAAGGGCTGGTGTAAAGCTACCCAGCTTGTTTTACCTCACTTCCAATTCCCCCAGCACAGACTGTAGCACTAGGGGGTAATCACACTAGCGATATTTGACCGAATTTGGCCTTGATTATAGCCAGAGGGGTTGGGAAGTTGAGTAAGCGAGTGGGTAAGTAGGTGAGTAGGTGAGTAGACGAGTTGACGAGTTGACGAGTAGACGAGTAGACAAGTAGACGAGTAGACGAGTAGACAAGTAGATGAGTAGACGAGTAGACGAGTAGACGAATAGGTGAGTAGGTGAGTAGGTGAGTAGGCGAGTCGATGTAACGAACTTCCATGTGACCCTCAAGCAAGAGTTGGTCCGTTTATTTTTCTGCATAACATCTAGGCTACCAGCCGGGCCGCCCGGGTCACCCTACTTTTCCGGGCGGGCCGGCCGTGCAAGGACCAGGAAAGGTCCTAGCACAAAAAAAAAAATCCAAAAAATCCAAAAAATGATAAAAATCCAGAAAAAAAAATTCAACAAAAAAAAAAAAAAAAAAAATKTTATRMARAAAAAWAAACTGCCTCAGGGTCACATCRAAATTYTTTACCAAATTTAAAATAAAATTTTTAAAAAAAAAATAAAAATGAATTGTTATTTTTTTATTTTTTTTGGCCCGGCCGGGCAAGTGGTCCCGGGCCACTCTGGTAGCCTAGCATAACATACTTTTTTTTCGGATTTTTTTCTTTCTTTTTGGCTGGTGCGAGGAACAAGCCCTCAAGTGGCCCTTTCAGACATCACAGTGTGCTGGGCTAAGGCCCCCAGCAAACCAAGTGCCTGCCCTAAGTGAAGGCGGGCCTGAATATTCGCCAAAGGCAAAATTCGAATATTCCATATGTGGGTATTCAGGCTCTCGCAGCACGGCAGTTGGTTGGAAAGACGCGTGAGCCTCACATTGCTGCGTCATACAGTTGGCCCAGGCCTTGACAGTTGCACCTGGGCACACATACACAAAGCAGGGCCGATACATTGGGAAGCAGGCCTTCAGCCTTGGCAAAAGCAGTACTGCCAACGCACCTGCCTGCGAGGCCTGCACAGATGCAGCAAACAGCCCAAGTCCGGAGACTCAGGCCGTGCCTAACTGCAAAGGGCCCAGGCCCTCAACTGTAGTCTCGGGCCTGGGCGCAGGGTCGGAGACCCAACCGGAAGCTACTGGAAGCTTCCAGCCAGGCCGCACGCAGCATCCAGGAGGCTGCGACTTCCACAAAAGGAAGGAAGCAGCCCAGACCAGGCATACTGGCCAGCGCTGGCAATGCGGAAGTGCTGCTGCACTCTCGCTTGATGCTGCGCTGCTGCCAAGGGCGCTGACGAGGCGCGAGAGGTGAGGTGGGGCGCTGCAGGGCAGCGGGGCTCAGGCAGCCATAGCCGGGCTGCTGGGCGCCAGGGGGTACAGCGGATGATCAGGTGATCTTCAGGGAGTGAGGCGCTGTGTGGGGTAATCAATGTCTGATTGAGGGTGACGAGATACGCACCTGGTACATGAAGAGAGGTCGGCGATGGTGTTGGCAGTCATGTACATTGGTCTTCGAGAGTCGAAGTGATCCTGTTGCGTGAACCGGCTGTAGGTAGGCTAGTAAGGCGGAGTAGGCTGGGCGTCGAGCGCCAGACAGGAGAGAGCGACTTTGGATACTGTGTTGGTGTGGCCTACGGGCTTGGACATTGGCTCATTACTTCACTGTATTGCTCTATATGGATGGTTTTCTCGGTGCATTTGTACTCTCTGCTTGGGACACGACTACTTGATCAGCGGTGTGATTTCGCAACCTGGTTTTATGTATATCGCTCACACTCATATTCCTTGCACTGGGACCTTTCCTGGTCCTTGAACAGCCGTACTGCCCGGGAAAATAGGGCGACCCGGGCGGCCCGGCTGGTAGCCTAGTGCTGTGCAGAAAACAAACTGAACAAACTTGGGTCATATCGAAATTCTTTGCCAAATTCAAAATAACATATCAAATAATAATAATATTTTTACTTCCGTCATCCCCTCCATTGCGAAAGGTAGCTTTGCTTGCAAGGGTCCCCTGTATTCGGTGGAAGACAGTAGTACTCTAACCCGCGATTTCTTCAGGTCATCCATTCAAATTTCAATTAAAAAAACAAAAACAAAAAAAGACCTATGGCGGCATGGCCCCTAAAATTTGCAAAAAAACTTCCACTGTAAACAAAAAGATGGCAACGGAAGCACCACTGACCCTAGCTCAGTTTGTACACTCGACAACTTTCCAAATACAGATGGGCCCGACTGCTCTTTTTTGGGAGGGAGCTCAGCCTCAAAGGGTTTGTACCATACTTGCAAGCGGACGCCGTCCGGGCGGTTCCGCACGTGCGGCAGACCGCCGGACCGGACCCGCGCGGCGCACGAATGTACGCCCGACAATCAGTTACGCCCCACCCCCCCCCCCAAAAAAAAAAAAAACGGCCCCGTCCGG